GTCTCTGTCTCTCTCTCTCTCTCTCTCTCTCTCTCTCTCTCTCTCTCTCTCTCTCTCTCTCTCTCTCTCTCTCTCTCTCTCTCTCTCTCTCTCTCTCTCTCTCTCTCTCTCTCTCTCATTCTCTCACTCTCTCGCTCTCTCTCTTTCTCTTTCTCTTTCTCTCATTCTCTTTCCCTCTTTCTCTTTCTCTCTCACTCTCAAAGTCTCACTCTTTCTTTCACACTCTCGTTCTCTTTCTCTCTCTCTCACTCCCTCTCTTTCTCTATCTTTATCTTTCTCTTTATATCTCTTTCTCTCTCTCTCTCTCTCTTTTTCTTGCTCTCTCTCGTTCTCTCACTCTCAAGGTCTCTCTCTTTCTCTCTCTCGCTCTCTTTCACTCTCACTCCTTCTATCTCTGACGCCAGAGTTCACATAAAAAACGGCATCACTCAACAATGTACAACTTGGCTAAAGTGAGACGTGATCGCCCTGGCAACACCTGGACTGACTGTCAACAATGGACGGGTTGTTGATGGGTCAGGTGGACTGACAAAGCTCCTTTCCTCATTGGTATAGCTAAATATATATATGGTTCGGTTAGGGTGTATAAGCTTTACGGGCTATTCATGCCCGTGCCACCTCTTGGGTGACTTAATCTTTATCAGTCAATCGTGTATAAGCTTAGGTTAGGCCGTGTTAGTTTGGTTAGGATTAGTATTAGTTTGAATCGTCTTGAGAGAGATATAGGGATGTGTGTGTGTGTATATGTGGATGATATATGGGCGAGACGTCGTCACGCGCGCCATCTATTGAGCGTGAACCCTAACTCTTCCCGCCCGCCCGCCCTGCCTCGCGTCTGCGCCAAGTTGCCCCACTCGCACGTCACGTTCCTTCTCTTTACGTCAATCTTTACGTCAGCGATTCCGCGCGCGTCAAATTGTTGTTGCACAAGAATTGTCGTCGCCTTACTCTGAGGTGGTTAGCGCTGGTGTTTTATTAGTGTTAATTACCACCGATTCCAGTTTGATTTGTGATTTTGTGGGAGAGCAGGTGAGTCACTTACAGTTTAATTAGGATAAAAGAGGAATAATGACCTCTGTGATAAATAGTTACAATATATATGACAAGATGGAGTCTCTAATGGCATCGGACACCTATAGGTCTATATTACGTCGGTTCAAGATTTATATAATTGAGGACATATAATTGTCTTTTTCACACTATATGTATACATCGCATATAGCCACGATTTGAGCCACGTTTCTCGGTATACTGTACATACATACACCTTGAATGATAGAGTATACTCTCCGGTTGGTCAGTAGGTTATTGGGGGGGGGTGTAGGCCTTAACAACCATAGGGGGGGGGTGAGCTTAACAACCCTGGGGGTGGCGATAGGCCTCAGGGCCAACCCCCAAGTGAAAGGATCACAATGAGAGGGGGAAATATTCCTTTTCTCGAGAGGGATATTCTCGATATATATATACACTAAGAGTTTATATATATATATATATATATATATATATATATATATATATATATATATATATATATATATATATATATATATATATATATATGTGTGTGTATATATATATACGACCTTAATAACCCTCCAAAGGTTAATAAACCTTCAACCCAACACTAAACCATATGCCATATATACCAAACCATATACTTTGCACAGTTTGGTATCAGGTGTGGGATCGTCCTGCACAGTTTGGTATCAGGTGTGGGATCGTCCTGCACTGTTTGGTATCAGGTGTGGGATCAGGACGTTGCCAATCAGTGATTATCTGTTTCTGTACATCTGGCACCCCTGTCTGTGACTCCAGATGCGTGACAATCATTTCTCGCTCGTACTGGATGCTTAAATCAACATAACAAAAAAATAACCTAACCTAGGCCTAAATGTGCACTAATAGATATAATAATATACATTTAAAATCTGACTCTCTGCACCTATTTTCATTTTCAAATTACTATTTTTTACACCGAAAATATGCCAATTACTGAAAGGCGATGGGTCATATTTTGCCCCCCCCCCCCCTGCAGTTTTCAAAATATCTGAAATGTCGGAAATTTGACTCCTGGGCGTGATTTTTGAGCCGAATTCTGACTCTCTGCACCTATTTTCATTTTCAAATTACGACTTTTTACACCGAAAATATGCCAATTACTGAAAACGGCGATGGGTCATATTTTGCCCAAACCCCCCTGCAGTTTTCGTAAAAAATATCTGAAATGTTGCACCTATTTTCATTTTCAAATTAAATTTTTGACTCCTGAACGTGATTTTTGAGCCGAATTCTGATTAGATGTTAATCGTATCGGTTTTTATAAGACCGTATTCAAAATTTTAATGTGTCCCAGAGAAAATTTTATAATTTTTGACAGCCGGGTAAAAAAAGTATCAAATTATAAAATATGTTTATCTCTTTCTAGATTTTCATATTTATTATTTTTACAGATAGTATAAATAATGGGTCAAAATGTGGAAGAATATTGGAAATAATCTTTTGAATCTTAGCAACAATGAAAAACGGGATTTCCTAGCTGTCACTAATCTAAATAGATTCGCAGAGAATTGATCAGTATCACAGTGTAGCCTTCGACGAAGATCAGGCCAGAGCCGCAATGACATAATTCCTTTAAAACTGAGCGTACACATAACAGCAGTGTGAACACAGCCATGAACCTCTCTCGGGCGAGATTCGAACCCACGACGACCAGGTTAATTCAGAGTAAGTTTGGCGCAGGTACAGTGATGAGGTAGCGCACATTGCAACTTTAATTATGAAATGCTTCACATCTCCGACATTTGCAGTCAACGACGTTCTCGAATGCTTTTTCGAAGGTGAAGCCGTCATCGCAGGCCAGAGGGATTCGAACTGTCTCGACGTTCAGTGGCTTGCAGCTGCGACAGTGATTTCCTTGACTCCAGCTCGCGTCTTCACGCTCTGAAAGTTCCAACGACACATATCATTAAGAAGAAAACGAAAAAAAACACATACTGTATTGGTACGTTCAGTGCATGAAAATGGGAACTCAACGGTGGTTAAAGGGAAACTAATAATTTATAAATTATAGCAGTTTCCTCAAGAGCCATTGTTGACTTCCTATTTTCTTTCATCCTCGTCGTGTTTTACAAATACCAATGAAACATTTTATTTGTTCAAAACTAATTTTATTTATTTGCTTATTTATTTATTTATTTAAAAGAAAGTAAAATGAGTGTTGTAGTAATTTCAGTATATAAATATTTCAGTATATAAATATTATTTATTTATATAAGTAAAGTGAATAGCTAGAAAATAACGGGAATAAAGATACAAATACAGAGCAGGGCAAGTTGTTTTTGCTTGACACACACACACACACCGCTCCTGTGCCAGGTAAGTAAATACATTATGGGCTCACCATACCCCGTGCTACTTTGAACTTGTTCCGAGTAGCTGAATCTATAACAACATAAGACTTTTAAAGCCTAAAGACTTTTAAACATAATGACTTACGAAGGTTAAACATCTTTCCTCAATCATGGCGGCTGTTTACATTTAAACAATTTGAACTCCGAAGCACAACGAGACTACTATAATAATAGGAACCTTGGATTGTGAAGTTTCCAAGCTTCTAAACTGTTTTAACACATTTAAACAAACAAGCAATGATTGTTGATAGATATAAAGGTTTCGTAATGGGTTGCATAAATGCTTGATGGATACTGGCGGAACATAAACATTTTATGTAGGCAAAAATACATACACACATAGGATACAAACAGATTGATGGAATATAAGATATAAAGACCTGGGGCCAGATTCACGAAGCAGTTACACAAGTACTTACGAACTTAAACATCTTTCTTCAATCTTTGACGGCTTAGATTACATTTATTAAACAGTTTACAAGCATGAAAACTTCTCAATCCACTGTTGTTATTGTTATAAACAGCCTCCTGGTGCTTCGGAGCTCATTAACTGTTTAATAATTGTAAACAAAACCGCCAAAGATTGAGAAAAGATGTACTGGTTCGTAAGTGCTTGTGTAATTGCTTCGTAAATCTGGCCCCTGCCTTACAGGACAGGGAGGCAGGGTATAATTAGCCCCGTTGAAACGTAGAGATGCAATGGATACATTAAGAGATAGGTCTATAGACATTGAGGGCCAAAGACCTATCAACCTTTCAACTTTCATCTATAAGAAAGTAGCTTGATCGGATATGTAAAGAAACACACAGAAGCTTAAGACGCATCTTAAATGTCCATCTTAAGATACAACCCATTCGTTGTGACTTGCTTACACTTGATGAAATGCACAAAATAAGTCACAACATCTTGACTGAACCAACTTAACCCTCACATATATATAATGAAAGTGACAACTTCTCGGTCCGTTCGGAGCGCTAATTACGTCGTGACGTCACCATTTGATCGTGATGGTCCAGGACGGACCGAAACGTCGTCACTTTCACACGTGTGAGTTGAGTTAGTTGATGAAGTATTGCATCTTGAGTCATGAGGGTGAATGACTAGTGACTTTAGTCATGGAGAGTAGAGAAAATGTGACGAATTTTGGGTAGTTATTGATGGTGGAATGCCTGGGTGAGGTTTGAGATTTAGTGATTTTAGATCTGAGAGGTGAGGGATGAGGTTAGAGGTATAGGTGAGGGGGAAGGCTTTGGGGGGAGAGGAGGGGAATAGGGGTGGTGTCGGCAAGACTGTCTTTAAGGATATGAGCTACAGTTCGAGAGGGAAGAGGCTGTGTAAGGGTTTTGTGTGTGTGTGTTTACAAATTCCGCCTGCATGATCTAGCTGTTAGCTCTTGGACCTATTAGATGGGACTACAATGTAATGGGGCTGTTACATGATGGGGACTACTGAGTGAACTGGACTACTGTTGGGTATGATGTGGAGTGTAGACTCACCTATGAAGGACCGGGACTGACAGTAGCCGAGGCAGTAGCGGATGGGGGCGGTGATTGGGTGGCGGTTGGAACAGTGGCCGTGGTTGTAAGACATCATGTAGAACATGCCGATAGTCTCGTGGTTGTTGGTCACCTGGACCACGCACTCCCCTGAGGAACACACGAACACCGCCTGCATTACCACCACCTGCATCACCACTTACAGAATGGGAGAGTCCCCACCTCTCCCCATATCTCTCTCTCTCTCTCTCTCTCTCTCTCTCTCTCTCTCTCTCTCTCTCTCTCTCTCTCTCTCTCTCTCTCTCTCTCTCTCTCTCTCTCTCTCTCTCTCTCTCTCTCTCTCTCTCTCTCTCTCTCTCTCTCTCCAGAACACAAGGAAATCAAGGCCTACACTTTATCTCACTATCGTTTACTTTTAACGAGATGGCCTGACGTCACCCGCTCGCAGGTCTACAAAGATGGGAAGGTTGGTGTGTCGCTCCTTCAGGAACGTATATTTACTGTCGCATACCGAGCGAGACAGATCGGGACGTCTCCCTCAGCTGCTACGTTATTTATGAACCAGATAGGTATCTTTACCTTGATTTACCAGCGGGCCACTATCTCTCTCTAGTGGCCTCGACGAGGACAAGAAGCCAAAGCAGCGTGTCAGAGGTCCCCCTCCCCCCCCCCCCCCCAACATACACACACTTGTCCTGAATGTGTTGTCGAGTTGGACCTTAACATTCAGCAGTGATTTGACATTTAAGGCTTCGGCGGGTAGGCGGTTCAATGGGTATCATGGTAGACAGCACTGCCTCTTCAAGGGCAGGTCCTTCATATTGTTAAAGCAGGTTCTCAAACCATTTTCCAAGCTTACAAAACATGTATTTTTTTCCCCTGTAATATGATTTCATAAACATATTTATGGGACGAACAACTACCCCAATGTTACCCTCGAGATCTCTGATCAATTATGTTTACGATACAGCTATCTTCAAGACAAGTGGGAAGGGGAGGGGGATCTTTGACAAGCCGCCGGTGTCCTATTCTCGTCGAGGCCACTAGAGAGATAGTAGCCCTCAGGTAAACTCGGGCAAATGAGAAAAACCTGGAACATGCAAGACAAAGAGGCAGAATGGGACACACACAAAAGCAGACAGGTAATTCGACAGGAAGATATAGAGGGCCACGGGCTACCTAGCAAACAAAAACTCACATTAATCAAAAATATTATATACGTGTTTGCTAATTATCGAGAATATTTCACCTTTTTTAGGATCCGTGTCAACGTGTTTCTTTCTACCATCATGTCTGAGTCTCTCTTCTTTATCTTGCTCTTCTTTTTTCACTCCTCCCTTCTCTTCTTCATTTTCTCTCTCTTTTACTCCTCCATTTTCCCCTTCCTTTGCTTTATCTTGGTCTTCCTTCATTCCTCCTTTCTCTTCCTCTTGATCTTCTTTCACTCGTTTATCTGTTTTCTTCTCTTCTACTTCCTCTGCCTTCATTACTTCTACTTTCTCTTCTTCCTTCACGGCTTCCTTCTCTTCTACTTTTTCTGCTTCCTTCCAACCTACTTTTTCTGCTTCCTTCCCTTCTACTTTTTCTGCTTCCTTTTCTTCCTTCTCTTCTCCCTCTACTTTAGTAGTTTCATCTTTCGCAACGGCATTCTGTCCAAGCATCACCGGAGCATCTTGTGGCTTCATCCCGTTCGACAGATCACTCACCAGCGAATCTTCAAAATACATATGTTACCCCTTTAAATTTGTCTTTTTCTATGAAAGGCAAATCAGACAAAGAAAATGCTACGTATTTACACTGTCACCATAGAAAACTTAAGTAAAGCAAATTTTGTGTACATCTTTTTGCATAATAATAATTATTATAATACACTGATACATGGAGAGCCTTACCTGCTCCGGTGGAGGTGGTCAGCCCGGTGTCTTCCCGTCTCTCGATGAGATCGACGAAGGACATCACTCTGTCCAGGTGTTCCTGCAGGACCCCCACACTGGCGCTGACCTCCTTCAGAGACTGTACGTGGGAGAGAGAGAGAGAGAGAGAGAGAGAGAGAGAGAGAGAGAGAGAGAGAGAGAGACGGGCGATATAGCATTTCATTTCACAGCTTACTTACTAACATTTATATAACATTATTACCGCGCGTGATTCGTGGCCTTGTAAACACAAATATGAAAGCTTTACAATGAACGTATATCATTGTACACAAGTGATAGCTGTGCTTAAGGCGACGGCAAGAGCACCTTGAAATGAATAAACATGCAATCTATATATATATAGTCGTTAAAATGCTGTTTCTCCGATAGTATTTATTTTTTTGTAAGTTATTCGTGGGCCACCTGCGTACCTCGCCACACAGCTTCTCCAGCCACTGTCTGTCAACATTAGCAATGTTGCATACGGCGGGCCCCCAGTTGAGAGTGTGGGTTGACCGCAGACACCAGCCTACCACCACCGCCAGGGACCACATCCACCCCAAAGACACCGCCATGACCGCTGCTGGTTGGTAGCTGAGAGAATTATAAACACGTGCTGTAGTAAGGTTGAACTTTGAAAGTAAAAGCTAAGTAGGGGGGAATTATCAGGGGGAAAGCACCAAGCCATTATGACTATTAGTACTGGGAAGGGGTCAGGATAAGGATTTGGGATGGGAAGGAATGGTGTGCAGCCACTTTTGGACGGTCGGGGATTGAACACCGACCTGCATGAAGCGAAACCGTTGTTCTACCGTCCAGACCAAGTGGTTGGGAAGTTATTAGTAAAAGCTAAGTAGACAATGCAAAAAATATGTCAGTACGTGCGTGCGTACGGACGCATGCATGCATGCACGCACGCGAGCACACACACACACACACACACACACACACACATCTTGTATATCTGTACAAGACTCAGGGGAGTCTTATATATATCAATTAAATTTAAAAATATATATGAAATACTAAAGGGGAGTGTGGAACCCACAACCATCAGGTCAACAACCCCAGTAGAAATCAAAACAGTAGTTTAAACCACTCAACTTCCCACTCTTCCTACAAAACTTCCTTCACTTAACTAACTGAAACTGAAGTTTCATTAACTGGCCGTGCACTAAATAACAGACTTAAGAAACACAAAAGAAGTGTTACGTCTGCAGACACAAACAATGCTCTCATCTGTCATGTTAGGGATTCTAATCATCCTATTGATTGGTCTTCTAAATTAATCTTTCCTGCCTCTACACAGACGCCGTCTTGTCGAATCGGCTCTGATACACATCCTACTTAACATGATCCTGAGTCCTGGCTTTGTTGCTGTTAACTCTTCCCTTTCACAGTATATGCTTAAATGCTCCAACCTTCTTAACAAACGTGATCTGACTTAAGACTACCCCCCCCCCCCCCGTTTTCTTTTCGAATCAGCAACCAGAAGGCCTGGTCGACGACCGGGCCGCGAGGACGCTAAGCCCCGGAAGCACCTCAAGGTAAGGTAAGGTAACCTCTCCTTCCTCTTATTCTTACCTAATCCCACTCATCCCATTCGTGCCAATCATCCTGTTCTTAGCTTCTACTTGATTTTTTACCTTCTTCTCTTACCTATTCCTCACCTTACACCTTAACTTCTTCTACTCACACACAGAAATCACAATAAAGTGATATATCAAATAAACAAAGGCTTTAATGGGAGTTCGAACCTACGCACAGGATGCTCCGAGACGCGCATTAGTCAACTGCACCACCACATAGTCAAAAGAATTGCAACCTGGAGTGCCACTACACCCACGAGGATCCAGAGGCTTCACTGAAGCCTATAACAGGGGTGTCACACAATTTCCCCCAATGCACTCGGGCTCTATCAACCAAATACAGTAGTCAGGAATTCTAGGCAGAACTCCAACAACTTATTTTAAGTATTTTTAAGTATTTTAAGTAAGCACGGGCTTACTACAGTTCGTGCTTCATGGTATTGTTCCGTGTAGCTGAAAAACAACATTACCTGTTCCTTATCTTAGAAGCTTTGTGCTACTTGGAATATTATGGTGCTAATAGCTGAATCTAAAACTACAACAACACCATCCTCCCTCCACTCACACACTATACATGATAATGGATCGTGATCCAGGAATTGCGTACTAAGTTGAATTATTCAATCGAAGCAAGAGACATTAAGTCAGCTTATAGAGTGGGTACCAAATCATCTGGTGCAAACAACAGAAGGATACGCGTGAAGTTGGATAGCTGCTCCCGCAAGTCAGACCTTATCACTGCTGCAGTCGCTAGGAAATCCAAGGTTTATGTGAACGAATGTCTTACCAGATTCAGACAAAATCTCTTATTTAAACTACGTGGAATTCGCAATAGATCCACTGCTATTAAACATTGTTTTGTGCGCGATGGTAAAATAATAGCTAGGAAGACTGACTCTGGAAAAACTTATGTCATAACCACTGAAGCACACCTCACTTCTTTCCTGGATGACTGTGGGATATCAGCTGAATAACCAGAACATAATTTGTAGTCTCACATACAACCAAAGTGTACTGAAGCTCTGCCTTTCCTTTCCAAAGGTGTTTATTTTTATTTTTATTTTAATTTTTACTTTATTTTTTGTTTGTCATCTTTGCCTGTTTTATACTCTTAATTATTTGTTCTTAGTTAATCCCCTTGTCACTAAACCTAGGGCTTTTTATTACCCTGTTAATTAACCATTACTAAGCTAATTATCTTCAAGATCATTTTTTTATGATTATTATTTTTCTTATTATTTTTTATTTTACATTTATATTGTCAGTCTCTACTGATTTTTTGTGTTTTATTTTATGTAACTTCTGTGTCCTCCCTGGCTATCTATTGGATCTTTATTTTACTTCTAAATTGTTACTATTTTATTGTATCTGCTCTTATTCTTGTGTTTTGCTTTATCGTGTATCTTGTATCGTGATCCCTCTGCATCTCTATGCACACTGATATTGATCCTGATCAAAATCTTCTGTCTCATATCTATACCAACCAGCACATTGATCATCATTATTGTAAGTATTTCACAGCACACCAGGCTAAAAACAAACTCCAAAATAGCACCTATCTATCAGTTTATAACCAAAATGTTAGATCACTTGGTAAACATTTTGACGATTTAAATGCACTACTCACAGCACTAGGTACTAACCTATCGTTCATTATTTTAACAGAAACTTGGCTAAATAAAGACTATACCCAACTCTACAACTTAGCTGGTTATAAAGCCATTCATAACTGTAGGCCTAATAAAAAAGGTGGTGGCACAGCTATATATTACCGAGATACATTTATCTGCAACAGTGTTATTAGTGACAGAGATGACTACTGTGAATATACTTTTGCTCAGTTTACAATTAAATCCCTTAAATCCTCTTTGACTATTGGAGCCATCTATAGATTTCCTAATACTAACATAGCTTCTTTCTCAGACAACCTAAGGAATCTTATTATAAACAACAATCTCAACAAAAACCACATCATTCTGGGAGGAGACTTTAATATTGACCTGGGTCAACAAAACTGCTCTCAAGTTGACTATTTCCTTAACAGCATGAACTCCTGTATGCTAATCCCCACTATCACCAAACCTACCCGAGTCACTCAAACATCAGCCACTACCTTGGACCACATATGGACAAACATAACAGCTCCCCTTGTATCTGGTATAATCTACGACAGAACAACTGACCACTATCCTACCTTTCTCATAGCGAACATGGACATAACACCACCAAAAAGCAAGAAATTTTCATTTAGGCTACACAGTGAATCAGCTTTAGACAATCTTACAGAGGCACTTCACAATATTAACTGGGATTCTGAATTCAATAATACCCATGATATAAATTCATTAGCTAACCTCTTCCTCTCCAAAACTCTAAGCCTCTACAACCTTCATTGTCCCCTTCTTACAAAGCAAGTAACTGACAAAAGATTAAACAATCCATGGCTCACAAATGGCATTCTCAACTCAATCAACAAGAAACATGAATATGAAAAGAAAGTTAGGATTGGCCTAGTTTCAAAGGAAGTAGCTAAAAGGTACTCATCAATGCTTACCAGTATCATAAGAAAGGCAAAACTTGCATATTATGTGAATAGATTCAATGAAGCAAAAGGCAACATGAAAAACACTTGGAAAACTATCTCTAGTATCCTACGAACTAAACAACACTCACATAACCAAATAAAACTCTACAAGGATGGGGATATACCGTCAACTGATTTAGAAATGGCAAATGAATTTAATAGTTTCTTTTCATCGGTTGGTGCTAATCTTGCCAGTAAAATCCCACAGACTCAGACACATATTAACACATATCTCTCAGGCAGCTATCCAAACTCTCTTCTCCTTTCACCAATCAGCCCGGCAGATGTTGTGTCCATCATACACTCTCTAAAAACCAAGGCAGGGAACACCAGTGAAATTCCGTCCATTGTGTACAAGAGAGCCTCCCATGCCCTTGCCCCACCCATAGCACTACTGTTCAACAAATCTATAGAGTGTCACACCTTCCCTGATATCCTCAAAAAAGCAAGAGTAACGCCAGTCCATAAAGGAGGCAATCCGGCGGACATAAACAATTATAGACCAATATCAAATCTACCCATTCTATCAAAAATATTTGAAAAAATTATTTACAAACAGCTCTATTCCTACCTCGTAAAATTCGACATACTCAGCCCCTGCCAGTTTGGCTTCCGGTCCCAAAAGAGTACCAATGATGCAATCATTAGTCTCCTTGACATTATCTACTCAGCCCTTGACAAAAATGAGTTTCCGATTGGACTCTTCATTGACCTAAGAAAAGCCTTTGATACTGTTAATCACAACTACCTCTTATTTAAACTCCAGCATTATGGAATCCGAGGCCTTGCCCTTGACTACATCCGATCCTATCTTAGTGACAGACACCAATATGTAACCATCAATGATACAACTTCTTCCACTCTACCAATTACCGTTGGAGTGCCACAGGGCAGCATCTTAGGACCTCTTCTATTTCTTATATATATAAACGATCTGCCTAATGTCTCTAATATTCTCAAACCTATATTGTTTGCTGACGATACTACCCTTATCTACTCAAACCTCAACCCACATACACTAAATAATGTTGTGAATAATGAATTAAAAAAAGTCCACTTATGGATGTCAACGAACAAACTAACATTAAACATCGAAAAGACTTACTACATCTTATTTGGAAGCAAATCATCAAATGCAATTCAGCTACAGATAGACAACATTAACATCAGTAATAAAAATGATGGCAAGTTTCTTGGCCTATTCCTAGACAAGAGACTCAACTTCAGCACCCACATTCAACACATAACTAAGAAAGTCTCTAAGACAGTTGGTATACTCTCCAAAATCAGATATTATGTTCCTAACTCTGCTCTCCTCTCGCTATATTATGCACTAATCTACCCCTATCTTAATTATGGTATCTGTGCATGGGGGTCTACCACTGCAAACCACCTTAAGCCCATCATCACACAGCAAAAATCTGCTATCAGAATAATAACTAACTCTGCTTTCAGACAACACTCAGCTCCCTTGTTTAAATCTCTAAACTTGCTAAATATTAACTCCCTCCACACATTCTCTTGTGTCAACTACATTTACAAAACCCTGTTCTTAAATGCAAACCATGCTCTGAAACTCTCCCTGGACAGATGTAATAGGACCCATTATCACCACACCAGAAATAAACATCTCTTTGATATCCCCAGGGTCAAACTTAATCTGTGTAAACACTCTATGCAAATTAAGGGACCTAGTCTATGGAACTCACTCCCTAGTGAATTGAAAAACTGTAAAACTTTTGCCTTATTTAAAAGCAAAACCAAAAAGTACCTAACTTCATCTATTTAGTTTCCTACACTGAGCTTTAAATTTGCTCTGTACCTAGTGGTACCCAATCTCCTAGTTTTTATGTAATATCAAACAACCTTATCATTGTGTTCATTGCTGTCTTCTTTTATGTGCTAGCCATATGCTGTATTGTGACTACCAATTTTTGTCAACTACCATTCAAGCTGTCATTGCAATCAATCTTATATTGTTTCTGCTGTATTGTGCCTACCAATTTGTTGTCAACTACCATTTTAAGCTGTCATTGCAATCAATCATAGCTACCTATGTGCTTTAATATACTGTACCTATAATTTTCTCTCATCTTTTTTTTTTTTTTTTCATTCCATGTAATCTGTTATCATTTTTTTGTCTATAAATTTTGCAAGTATTTACCTCCTTAAAATTTTCTTAGATTAAGGACCTGCCCGAAACGCTGCGCGTGCTAGTGGCTTTACAAGACTGTAATTACCATAATTGTATCCTCACATTCCTTATGTACATTCTTGTATATGCATAAATAAAAATAAATAAATAAATAAATAAATGGTCCAGGAGGGACCGAAACGTCTTCGCTTCACCATCTTCTGATGTGTGGTGTGGTCATTATATCTTCAGTCCCGTTATTGTGACTCGTCGTCAGCTTATCACTTGGTTATTTCACAAACTACTCTGATAGCACTTATAACTACTGTCATGTTAGTATTTTAAGTTCAGTAAATTAAATAACGTTATATACTGTATATAGCAAATCGTTGATATACAAAAAATCTCGTTACTTTATACATATATATAAAACAATGTCAGACCACGGAGGAAAAATGAAACAGGAATTTCCTTAAGTACTTTCGTATATTAATACATCTTCAGAAGGAGTGAAGATGTATTAATATACGAAAGTACTTAAGAAAATTCCTGTTTCATTTTTCCTCCGTGGTCTGACACTGTCACATTTTTAATCACGTGTTTATTTTCGTGATATACACACATATATATAAAACAATTACAATTGTTCAGATGAGCTTATCACCGCTGGACGGAGAGAGAGACAGACGCACAGAGGCGAGGCACAGACCGTCGCCTCAGGTGCTGGGGCCAGACTGGGCCGTTCACTAATGGTTTCCTACCTTAATTGGGGAAGGTCGAGACTGCGCCGGCCAGGGTTGCCACTTCGCGGAAGACAAATATTACATGTGTGTGACGATGTGTATTGAATTTTGTAATTAGCTCATCACGATTGTAACTTGTTTAGCTAATGATTTTGTGGGGTTCAGTCCCTCCCTGAGCCCATTATGTGCCTCTGTAACACTTTCCACTACCACCCACACGATGGGGTATGGGGTGCATAATAAATAAACTAAACTGTCTGAGGACTACAATCTGTGGACACGACGCGGGGAAGTGGGGGGGGGGAGGGGGGCAGGAAGCCGGTGGCTTGTCATTTGTTTAAAACAAAAAAAACTCCAACTACGGGCTCACCATAGCCCGTGCTACTTGGAATTTTTGTTCCGAGTAGCTGATGCTGATACAACAGCAGCAGACTCCATACAGTTTCAAATGGAGATATGATGGAGCCCAATTGGTTCAGGAACCTGAACACCAGTTGAGAGGTGGGATCAAAGAGCCGAAGCTCAACCCCCGCCGGCAGGCACAACTAGGCGAGTACACACCAACATAGGGCGATTATACTCAAGAGCGAGCATATAGATAAATATATTATATATATATATATATATATATATATATATATATATATATATATATATATATATATATATATATATATATATATAATATGTATCCCAAAGAATTCCATGTTCCGATAGTATCAAATCCGGAACATTTCTACCACACTGTGCGAAGCCTGTAAAGAAAAGAGTCGTCAATTCAGTATAATTACAACCCACACATTGCCACATTGATGGAATCCTAGAGTGTAACTGTGTGAACTTCGCTCTTAGAGTGTGGCGAAGAGCGCGGTCTATACTCGCTTCTCCTTGTACCTGCGTGAAATACTTTAATGGCTTCCCCCTCCCACCGCGGCCACTTTCCCCCTGTGTCCCATCTCTTCCCTCAGTCCCCCCCTCTCTTCTATGTCTATCGTTTTCTTTTATCTCTCACCCAGCCCGTCTTCTCCTGTTGTCACAATGGACAGAAAATGGTGAACTAAAACCTGATCTAACTGAACGACTCCTGCATGGAAAACGTGAATGTTTGTGAGCCTCTGAGATTCACAATACATCATAATTTGTCCGATGGGGAGGGGGATTTTGACGTCAAAATGACGTCATGAGCCTCTGGGATTCGTCGACGTTTGTGAGCCTCTGGGCTTCACAATACAGCATAATTTGTCCGATGAGGGGATTTTTACGTCAAAATACGATGTATTATTCGAGAGGACAGGTTGCGGAAACAATACTCACTCGCGAGTTGACGGTCAAGACCCACGTGGAACTACAGAGGGAAATACCTGAATTTATACCTGAAGGGGCTGACTACATTAGATAAAATGAAGAAATACAAGGGACATGATACGACCCGTTCTCCTAAGGTTTCCCAACGTCAAGAAACTGTTGTACTAAAGTACCCCCTTACCTGCCGGTGAACGCAAAACAGAAAACGGGACAGTATGTTCATTTCGCGAGCCGAAATTATTTTGATAACGACATATATAATTCTAAATCGACCAAGAAATCACACTTAAGTACGCTTACTAAGCCACGATATGCTACAAAAGTGTAAGTTCGTGGGTTTGGGAGCATCCATTAGTGTGCAGGTTCGAATCCTCCTCAGGGCTCCTACTGATTTTCTCATTATAAAAGGAATTAACAAATCAAAGTGGATTTGCCACTTCATGCAAATCCAAGTCTTTCAGCTTAACTAGAAACACACGAACCCAAGCAACCCTCCTACCCTTACGAGTGGGATGCATAGAAAACGAGACTATTTTTGAGCCGTAACTCTATTGAAGATCAATATTGTTCAAAATGGATAACCTAAGCAGGATGTATCAGATTTATAATTTGAGAGACAACAATGGCACTTTCCTGCACCGTGGGAGAGTACCCACCACTTTCAAAATTTAATCACTCCCTTTCCATTATTAAGGCAATACAGACTGTATTTTCCTTGATAACACGAAAACGTTCGGAATTCTCGTTTCATTTTTCTAGTGGATACTTACGCATAACTGTATCAAGTGTTTTTTTTTTGTAATTATTCTTGCATGAAGAGCATATATGGGCTAATTCATCAATCATATTTACCGTGCATTCAGTGGCCAATGAGGAATGGGATCAGAGGAAGATAGATTATTCTGACTTCGTCATTGATAATGTTATTGTGGTTTCCTTCAGACACAAGCTCGTCACAGTTGTGTCTTGAAGAGGAGTTAAGTTATTTTGTTAATAATACAACGTGTAGAGATGTTATGGAGAGTTTCTCGTTCCACTTCTCTGAATGGATGACGTAGTTATTACATGATCATTATTAACACAATTCACAATATTTCATTAAAAAACTGTGTCCCCTACATATATTTAATTTAGAAGTAAGAAATAAAATATATATATATACATATATATATAAATATATATATATATTTATACTTGTATAAATATATACATATTTGTATTCTTATCTGTCATTGTAACGACAACTAGCCGCGGTTCAGTCAAAGATCTCATGATGTCATCCAGGAAGCCCGTTCGGGTGCCCCATTGGCCACAAGAGTATGACGTCATAAAATTCGTGCAGACCAGGCCTGTGATTGGTAGTTGTCAAGTCGAGCGTTTGGCGGGAAACTGAGACGGCGTGGGGGTCTAGGCGTCTGCTGCAGGTCGCTTTGTTTACATTCGTATTTTCCCTATTTTGTGCCTCGTTTACGATCTGTAGCACCGCGTCTAATGACCAGTGTAAGGAGAAAGGGGTGCAAGATGTCCTGAGACGGTGGTCGGGCGGTGGTGAGTGAAAGGTGAGCGGTTAAGGCCGCTGTATTCAACAAGTTGGTCCGTGGGCGGAGAGGAAGAGCAAGTGCGCGCCATCTGTCTCGCGGCGACAGCATTCGACGAGGTTTAAATATCCTGTTGAGAGTGATACCTGTAGCGGACACCAGTCCCCCAGCATCCACCAGTGTAATTGGTTGTGGCTTTCCGTCATCCCCCCTATCCGTCCCGGCACAAGTATTAGCCCACCGTGCCCAATAACTCGTTTTAAATAGCTGCACCTCAGCCAGTTGAGCGTTTAAAGGTCCAGCCAGCCAGCCAGCTGCACGGGAGGTCAAGACCATCCACGGTGGAAGGTCAAGGTCTACACCAGCCACAGCAGAAGATCCGGACAATCCACGGGGGGACAGGTTATCGCTAGCAGTTGGGGGGAAAAAAACTCCCCCATAGGTGATCCACAGGAGAAAAGATCCCAAGCCTCCAGGCTCAGACATGGCCGAGGGCATGGTAGTGGTAGGGGCCGGAGGGGAACCTGTGGCCCACCGGACCCGGGGTGCCCTGGAGGAGATCCCCAGACCTGCCTCCATCACCCTCCGCCACACCCAGCTAGGTAAGTCTCAGGAGCCACACTACCTCCCTCCCCCCCCTCACGTGTCACTCGTTTGAGTTTCCTGTGCAAGAAGTGATTTATTTACTCAGAGCTTTTAAAGCTGCAGTATGTTGTAAAAAAAAAAAAATGTGCTAAAATGATAAATGGAGGACCTTTGACAAGCCATTGTCTTCCTGTCCTCATTGAGGGCTCTAGTACTCTCAACAAGGGCCCTCGGGTAAATTGAGGTAAATTCATAGCTACTCTTTAACACAGACCTATTCTAACAAAAATAAAGAGTTTTGTTTTATGTGTGCGATGTCACAGACACCTGACATCATTTGCATCTGGGGATCTACGACTGTGATAGTGCACGAGTGTCACCTTAATGATTATTGCATTTGCTATGTGGTTTGTAAATCCTGACATATAGGATGTTTGTTTGGGCCTACTCACTTTTTGGTTCTCTTTTACTCATTCTGTGAATTTACATCCCTGTGGCAGGGGCCAGGATTCAGCAAGCATTTACACAACTTACAAACCTGTACAGCTTTCTTCAATCTTTGGTGGCTTTGTTTACATTTATTGATTTGGAGATGTTGTTCATAGTTTTGCAGGCCAGACACTGACAATGGGCCAATTGTGCTACAGGTATTATCTGGTGATATTGTTCATTACTTACAATGCACCTTCCTAGGTAAGCTAAACCTATTTATATATTTACTTTGTCTCTTACACTTCTCTTGTCTCTACACACTTGTCTCCTGCACTTCACCCCCTGCTTATAGGTGGCAACCCTCTGACGTACCAAAAAAAAAAAAATCATGGAGCCATTGGCCCATTAGCTCCTAGCCAGGCATGGGGCAGGAGTTGCCATGAAGATATTTTTACATACTGTACTGTATGTCAATACTGTATCTGTTTTTTTTATTAATAATATTATGTATCAGAGATTGGACATCGGAATGGTCAAATATATTTGTGTCACTAATACCGTATATGCGCCATATTATATTCTTAGCATGATAAAATAGAGTTTTGCTGTTATTAAAATGTACATTACTGTACTTGTATACACACTTTCTATATAACTACATACAATATCTACAATGAGAAAATCAGTAGAAGCCATAACAGAATTCCAAAATGCCCAACAAAAAATTGTCACATGCATTTGAAGGATTAAGCCACATAAATGTAAGATCTCTGTTAGGTCTTCCTTTTCTTAACTCCTGAGTTATCACCACAGTTGGTGTTGGGAAAGTAGCACAATTTGAATGCAAATTCATTCAGTTTATGTACCTGAAATGACCATGTTTCCTTGAGAGAAATTTACTTTGATTGCCTACGTAATTTGCTCACATAAAACTCGCTTGAATTATTGGTCTGACACTTATCTGTTGTATTTAGATTGCGGGCAGTCTGCATTCATTACGTGAAGTGCTTCTACTGCCAGGATAGATAGAGCACATGTGTTACCTGCAAATACCAGGCCAAAATAGTGGTGTGAGGTTTAATGTGGCAGGTTTTGTTTCTAAATTTTGTTATTCATTTGATTTCTAGTATCATTACTACCATTTTTCACTTGAAGGCTCTTACTGTTCATGTTAACTTCCAAGAGATTATGTATTGTGTAATAAGTGCTATATTGTACCCCACAGGCAACTTGGACAACTGGTCAGCAACAATCAATCTGCCGTCTTCGTTTCTTTCTCCGACGCCTTCGCCAGATGAACTTATCATTCGAGGGCGTGGGAGAAGATCACTTCCCTTGGAATGGTCTCCAATTCCAATAGAGAGTCCTATTAAGAGATCAGAAAAAACTCCAATCAAGAGGTCTCCTGGGAAGGGTATGATTGTTCTACGGTCATCCCCAAGGAAAAGGCTGCAGTTAAATGATACTCCACCAAAAGACTTGATGGAACACCGACGGGTAGGCCTGTTATAAATCATGTTTTTCATTTTTTTTTTTTTTGTGACTTGTCTAAAGTGTGTGTATCAAACACAAAATACAGCAGCCTTATTTGTAAATAGCTTTATGAGTAACCATTGAAAAATACTTAAAAGTGTGTGTTCATTGCAAAATTGGTTGAGGAACAGCAGATTCAAGATATTTTGGGGTTGTGCACCTGATCCACTATTTAGAAAACAGTACAGTATATAGTGAATAAATAAATATGTATTGTAGATTCCTCCTGAATATTTGAGTATTTTTTTCTACCATCCAAGATTTTTTTTATATACTCTGTAACCTTTAATAAAGTATACTTTATTTTAATTTGTTACATTACATTACAGCTTACAGAATGCATATACTCTATATGGCAATCACTGTTCAAAAACCTCATCCAGCTCCACAGAGGTGGAGTGTGTGCCTAAGATACAGTGGGCATTTTCACCCTGGCTTACACCATTGAGGTGCTGGAGCAGGAACAAACATGGTCACTCTTGGGTCTCGGGTTTGCCTAACGAGTTCCTTTCCCACCTCCTTCGGGAACTTAAGTGCATAGTTACCCCAGGTGTGCAGGGTCTCCGAGTGTATTGGCATGAACTTGTAACAATCATTCAAGTTACTATACTGTACAGTACTTGTTTTCTGGGTCTCTGAAACTGACAGTTCCACCACAGCAAAACGAATTCCTAAAGCTCGGTGGTACAGGCGGGAGCACAGGGAGGGATTGGGAAGAGCCATCAGGAAATCCCCAGCATTGAGAGGTTGGCATAACAAGAAATCATGCTATATCCACTTCAGAAACTGCTGCTACCATAGTTGAGGCAATGTTCTCCATGATGGTGGCCATCCCAGTTGGTCTGTTTGCAGTCATTAGAAGTTAGTTGGGGTGAAGGGCCTGCAAGTTATGTCCTCTTGGTTAACTCCTTCAGTGAATTTGGGTAAATGAATCTCACTGGAGTTTCTTAAGTACTCTGGTGGATCTCCCACTAATATACTCACAGCACTGGTACATAAACACACAATGCACATTTTATGTTTACTTAACTGAACAGAAAATAACATACAGTACACAGGTATGGTGATGATGTCCAGGGTTATTCAACTTGACTTCCAGTTTTTTCTTTGATGCAGAAGATGATGCAGATGTCTCCTATTGTGAAGAAATGCCGTAGCTTGACTGTATCTCCCATGCAATCCCCACCAGAAGTGGCCATTAAGGGACTGTCAAAGAATCAGTTGGTTGAGGTTCTCAATCGCGTTTTGACAAAACATCCAGAGCTTAAAGGTAAATGTCCTGATAAACTTCATTTGAAGTGTCAAGTTACATTAATATATAGTATGACCTTCACCAAATTATATGCTCTCACTTTCTGCCAGATTCATATTGCTGAAATATCATTTAATATATATATATATATATATATACAGTATATTTATTTTTATGAGCATTACAAGTAGAGTTGAAGGTATTGCTGTAAGTTTGTGAAAAGAGAACCTTACACATATAGGCTAGAAATGTGCACGACTCCTAGATGGTAGATTGTAACTTGTTCGACTGTATTGTCATAAATTCTTATTCTTTTAAAAGGTATATGCAAAACTGAAATTAGATTAGAAATGAGCAATTTAGTGTTGATGAAGTAAAAATGAGGAAATTTGTGTCTTTCCATTGAAAGATGCGTGGCTTAAAACTGCATTATAATGTAGATTTATGGAGTGGCAGTTTGTTAAATTTTTATAGCTCTGTGAGAGGTAGCAAAATTTACTTTAAGTACCGTTCATAATTATGAGTAATATAACCATAATTGTGACAAATAATATGCTATAAAAGTTGATCAAAGTTTTATGGGTTTTTATTACTAATTATAATAATGCAATGTGTGTGTAAGCGTGTATGTGGGAGTGATTAAGATCAATAATGAGGATAAAGTTAAGAATGCCTGGTGGTTTTGCAGATGAAATATCAAACATCTTGCCACAGCCTGACTTAAAGCAGATGGAGGAGAAGCTCAACTTTCAGAAGAAGTGCATATTCAAGGCTCTCCCGATTTCACGTCTTGCATCCAGGACAGACTCGCCGGCCTACAACAAAGCTGCACCTCATCTCGCCAACTTCAAGGTTGGTCTTCATGCTAGGCAGCTATGTTAGATTCAGCACTTTACGGTGTCTGAGAAAATCTGGCCTTATGGCTCGGCCTCCTAGATGTTGTATCTGTTGGGCATAGACATTCTAATGCTGTTATGTATGCTTTTGAACTTGTGGATAGAGGTAGCTTTCGTGACAGTTTTACTTCAAGCGCTACGAGAACAGTGTAACCCAGGCCTCGGTTATTCTCATTAATAGAAAATTTATACTGATAAAAATCTAAACAGTCAAGTTAGGACATGAGCCACATGTATTTCAAACTATTATTCACAAGGCAATGAAAGTAAAAAGTATGACTGTGTAATAGGAATTTTATTGTTCCTTTGAATGTTCAGTACTTTCTGAACATTATATATTATACATTGATATTAATACATTTCACATTGATATTATACACTTTGTGTATAATATGCATTTTTTCTTGTATGTAAAATACTGTATACTTGTTTTCATACAGAAAATTATTGAGGAACAGTGCAACCAGCTAATGGAAGCTGAGCAGTGGGTGAGTGTTGTGGACTACACCCTCCTGGCATGGTCTTATGTACGGGCCACTCCAATTTGGGACTCCAACCAACACAACAATTGCCGCCGATCGAGTTTCAAAATTCTTGCTCGACACTGCCTCCAGGGACTTAAAGAAGTGCACTGGAGTCCAGAACAGCTGGAAAGTCTTTTGAAGAAGTAAGTTACTGATCTTGAATAAATATGCAAGTTTATGTTGTATTATTGTGTTTGGGTATTCCCAGAATGAATCCATGTTTTTCATAGTAAAGGTCCTGCTGTTTTCTTGGAATTAAAGTATTCACAGTCGAGGGCATGTCAATATTTCGTACTGAAACAGTAGGAATCTCTTTAAATGCCCCCACTAGGGATTTCTCAATCTGGCCTAGTTTTTTTTTTTTTTTTTTTTTTTTTTTTTTTTTTTTTTCCTGTCTTTTTTTAGTGGCCTGGTTATTGAACTATTCAGTCATCACAGTTTGAAAATGTTTTGAGTATGTTAGGGCATGTTAATTTAACAACTAAAAAAAAAAATGATGAAAAGATTAGTTGTTTTGTTATTTTGTCAAAAACTACTACTGTTGCTTGTAACCCTTTCCACCACCGGCCACAGGATGGGTATGGGGCTCATAATATAGAAATGACAAAACGTTGCCCTTGGAAAGTGTAAAATGATATTTTCTCTCCATTTCAGATTAGAGCAGTGTGCTTCAGACCACGAGGAAATGTTACACTGCATAGAGCACGTGCGAACTGTCCAGAGCAATCTCTGATGAGTTAAAAGAATATCTGAAACTAATATTTATTTTGCTAAATTTGCAGGCGCATTGATGTGGGTAAAGGAAAAAGAGGGTAAGATAACTAACTCTCGGTAAGAGTTATGCCCTCTTTTATTTTTATTTTCATTTTTTTAAAGCTGTTTACTTATGGACAAATAATCATTAGTTTTCTATAAACATTTTCCTATTGGTAACCAAATAACAGGAACAGAGTAGTGTCAGTTATAACACTTGGTTGTTAAACTTGCTGATGCAGAGTCTGTGATCTTTCACCAAATGTTTGATTTTAGGTTTAGGGTAAATCGTTTGTTTGCGTGATGGCAGCGCGTGGTTTTGCTCGAGGTAAGAATATGTTTGATGCGTCTGGTGTTTGTAAAGAGGAATTTATGCCCTGCATAATGCTATAATATTCAGCATATGGAAATTCTTCCAGGATCATTTTTAGTTTTAAGCCACCCCCCCTTCCCTCCCCATGTGTTTTTATTTATTGAGTGTAGATTTGTCTAATCAGCAAAAGGTCATTGAAGGCTTTCTGATTTTGTTGCTTAGAATGATTTACTGTACGGCAACGAAGGTTGTGTGCTATTTTTAGTGATCGCTTCGTCTACAAAGTTATAAGTTGTTGATATACTTTGCAGGAAGTTGGGAGAGGACTTAGTGTCTCCATCCCAGTAATGATTAATCTTTTGGAAGAATTTTCAATTGCAAGTGTTAAAAAAATAAAAATTCTAATAAAAATGATTCAACTTTTAAATTACATGGATTAAAAACAGTTGAGAGCTCATAAAGCCTTCCTGTAATGTGCCATTTTTGGATACATTGCCACAGCCCGTCATAAATATTATATCCATTCTTTTATTACAGTTTTGAAATGGGGGTGGGGTTGCATGTCAATAATTTTAACAACTAATTTTTTTTTTTTTTTTTTAACTTGGATGTCAAATATTTATCATAAAATTTTTATAAATCATTTTTTACTTTTTATCAGTTGATTGTCAATACATACATATTCAATTTGCTTAATTTGCATACTAATAAATACATCTTGGTAATATTTGCTTTCACAATTTCTGTGTTACTCTCTGCTATCTTATTTTCTCCCCCAGAGAATCTGTGTATTGTATTCATATGCAATATTTGTATATGATTATACAATCATTGCCCTCTCATTTGAACATGTTGGGGTCGACCTTGTATAAAAATCCAAACTTCTCATTCACTTAGGCACATCTGGATGAATAATTCTGTTCTTACCAACAGTTTTGTCTGCTCTGGCAAATGAACACATCCACTAGGGCCGTGCTGAGGGTTTGAACCCTCATCACGGCCCGTGTGGATGTGTTCATTTGATGCATCACGCTATTGTGATTTGTGTGTGCATTATGGCAAAGCTCGTAGTTTTCCAGTGGGTGAATTTGATGCAGTGAGGTCTAAATGTATCGCTTTTGGTAGCGGTAAAGTATAAAATAAAATGTTAGGATTACTTTTTTTTTTCTTTACCACTGCTTACCTTTTGTGAGCATTGCAGACAACACAGCACTTAATGATCTAAGTTTTCTGCATTAGTGGGAATTATACAAGTTTCCTCTTCACTGGACTGCTAGTTGAAGCTTAGATCGACACAGTCCATGTGTTTTGTGCCAGTGTATTCCATTTTTTTTATTATTAATATTATTATTATTATTATTATAAAATCTGGATATTGTATAGCATGTCATGTGCCGTTGGGCAGCATAGCTGAACAATTTTTTTTAGGCCTTTCCCACAATTTGTCCATATGAATAACTGCATGTTATTCCTGTGTGCATTATTATGAAATTGATGATTGTATACTATTGACAGTTTTTTGTTTGTAATATTTTCCATAGTTCCTTAGAGCTTGCACTTCCAGCTTGGGTTGGAAATGCACCCTATTTGTCTAAGACTCAAGTACAGAAGTGTATATTCAGTTTCAGTCCTTTGGGAATTAATAAATGTGTCCTTTACCTTGTCAAAGTACAAAATTTACTTGTATTATGGATTTAGTACTAATACATTGCCTTGTGCATGAAGTCCATTCTTTAACATTTTTTGTAAATTTTGCCATTTGTGCTCATTACTAATATATAATTGGGATGGTATTTTAATCATCTAATTAGCTATGATTACAAATTTCCTCAAAATGCAGCAAGCCTTATCAAACTTCATCACACCATTCATTGAAGGAAATGTATTAGTAGATGTTGATACTTGGGATTTTAATTGCCACAATAAGGATTGAGGCATCAGACACGCTGTCCAATACAGTTATTGCGTTCGTCTCCAAACAGGCCTCGTTCACCACACACATTGTAGGTGTGTGTTGCACGACAACGTAAGGCAATTGTTCTGATCAAATCGCATGCTAAACCTTTTACTCGCCGCATACCCTGAGATGTACAAACTTAAATTATAAAATGAATAGAGTATAATTGAATCTATATAGATGTGAATATGCTTGTGTGTATTTGGAAACACCTGCCTTCTCTGTTTGAGAAATGGTTTCATTTTTAGTTAAGAGAGAAAATTCAACTTTGAAATAATTTTATAAGTTCATAATATAATTATAATGGTTTTTATTTGTTGGGGAAAAAAAATGATTAAGCAGCAAGTAATATTTAAGCTTCTCAAGTAGTAGTAAGAGGTTAATGCTAGTTTCTGCTGCATTAAAATTTGCCATGATTTTAAGTCTTGTAATTTTGAGTTACTGAGAGTGTAGCCACTTGTAATATTACGTGAAGAGTCGGTGAAGCAAGCTTTTTTATTTGGGTGTGATTACATTACAGTAAAAGTTAAGAGTTTCATTCTTGCTATTATTCAATAATGGAATTCTCATTGTGCCAGGTCCACTGGGAACAATAGTGAACGTGGCTGCTGAAGTGCCTTGTATTAGGGTGATAAATAATTTGTGCGTTCAACGTTTTATTTAAGAATTGAAATAGTTTGTATGGTAAAATTATTAATTTTTTTAAGTGAAATAAACGAGCATTGCTTCTGTAAGTTACTCTGTTTTTGGCTGTTTTATACTTGTAGTGAAAGGTTATCCTTAAATATACTATGCAGTGTGTAAAATATTATATATGTATATATAAATATGTATGTATATATAATGTATATTATATAATACATACCCATGTATACATACTGTGTACACGCATTCTGAATTGTATCTAGTTTTCAAATAAAACCTTAAATAATTGATTAATTTTATTACAAATTATATATATGTGAGGCTTGCCAGGTTGAGCAGTGCACAAATAATGTAATATATAATTATCAGATATCTGTATGGAAAAGGAAAACTAATATGAAAGCCAAATTAATATTCTGACCATATCACAGGCACAACAGTGACAGGGCAAGGAGGCTGCTGTGTGTGGGTTTTCCAGACAGTCGAGTGTGGTTTCTGCACTCCAATGATGGGCCATTGTGTAATGGATATACTTGCCTTGTGTCACGAGAATCTCGTATGGGTCCTTGGATCCACCTTGCAGCGGAGGGTTTTTATCGAGCTTGAATTCTGATGAATGGACGAGTATCTAAGCTGGAGCTCCAGCATGGAGGGGAAGCTTTTGCGCCAATATAGTCATACTGGGCATTTTATCTGTGGATTACACTTGGCCTGGACTTGAGCCTGGATATAAATAGAAGCTGCTTCGTATGGGGTCAATAGGCTTTCTGCAGGTACCTTCATTCTTATGTTCCTCAATGCCCTGGTATTTGGAGTCTATTGCAGGGGTGCAATATTAGGATATGAATATAAAATTGCCATTTTGTTATTAATTCTTTTGATTGTTTATAATGGGTGCATACAGTAAAGAAATAAGAACTGCCAATGTAAATGTACCAAACATGTCACAGAATGTTAGTGTGCATGGCACGAGTGAGCAAGATGCTGTAAAGACTCCCATGGGTATAATGAGGGATACAGGTACAGTATTGGTTATACAATGGTACCATATAAAGATTTAAGAGACAGCTGGTTACATGAGGCCACAAAGTAGGGATCACTGCCACACACGTGGCAGGGAATCTTGAGATGATTTCAGGGCTTAGTGTCCCCACGGCCCAGTCCTCGACCAGGCCTCCACCCCCAGGAAGCAGCCCATGACAGCTGACTAACTCCCAGGTACCTATTTGCTGCTAGATAACAGGGGCATCAGAGTGAAAGAAACTGCCCATTGTTTCTCGCCGGCACCGGGGACCACAGGATTACGTGTCCAGTGTTCTGTCCGCTAAAAGGTGGTAGTGGTAGTCAGATGTCAAGAGCTATTTTGCCAGTAGAGTATCCCTCCTTTTAGGAGGAAAAACTGATCTTCCAGAGGCCCAATTCAACGGCCTGCTTGTCTGCCACAAGAGTCGGAAAGAAAAGTGGCAATTTCCAAGAATAAGATTCTGATCAAAATACCACAGTAAAATAGTTTCTACTAGGATGCAGAGCCAATGCTTTTGCCCGAACATTATCTACTTGAATTCCTGCAGCCTGTGTTTCGTTTCGCTATACATTACAAGATATATTTCGTTTGGCTATACATTACGGATAAATTAGGACAATAAATAATATGGATATCAAAATATTTATTATCAATTTAAGAATTACATTTTTTTAATGGACATTGTATTGCCTATATATTATTTCTGTCCATTGTTCAAGAAACTTATCACAATATCAAGGCAAAGCTACCATATAAAACTTCTCTACCGACACCTGAATGAAGCAATTGATCGACCAATGCTATCACTGTACCACATGATATTATAGAAGTACTGTAATTCCCCGATTTAAATTTTAACAAGAGCTTTGGAATAAACTATAAAATGCATCAAACACCAATTGGCAATAGATAATGTACCGTGCGTCCCAAGTCTACTCGTTTAGTGCCGATAAGCATCCATGCGTGCACTGGCTAAGTACAGTAGTTTAATTGTGTATTTAAAACCAAAGTTGCAATCATGCATTAAGATCAATACTGTACTGTATATTGTAATGAGAATATCAACGGAAACTAGAATGCTATAATCATCTAGAGCTTGCACAATTTATTCTAAAAAAAAAAAAGCCTTTGACAGCCATCACCGTACAAAGGTAGTTACTACCTATGACAGCCATATTTTAATAGAGGCCAATTTGACAAGACATTTTGGAACAGTCATTTCTAAACAAAATAATTTGTATGAAAAATATACATCACATGGCCCATGAAATACAAGAAGTCAAGGCCATTTAATTTGCCTCCAATACACTGTAAATTCATGGCTTTCAAACATTTAAACAAGCCACATCACAGCATTTTTGTAATATAGACAGTATGAAATTGGTTTTAAAGCCCAGAGGCATGAGCAGGTTGCCCCTGCAAGGGCAACTGTACTTATCCTTACAGCATCTGTACCGCCTTTTCTGTAAATCAAGTGGATTGTGCATGCAGCCTAGTGTGTGTGTGTGTGTTCCTCTCAAGTATTAACATACTTTATATTGCCCTTGGAAGCTGTGTAAATGCATGTTTATGAAGATCTGCAATTAAAAGGCATTAAATAAAACCCAAATCCAATCCGTGTACATTACAATACTTTCACTAACCCATAAAATGGCTATCACTATGATTATGCCCTGTGCTGGAATTGCCAAATGCTATTTTTGTTATAAATTTTGCCAAGTACTTTTTGTTATGTGCACCAAAATAATAGGATTTAATTAGCTGGCCATTTAAGGGTTAAACAAGACGTTCATATATTTTTCCATCAGCATTACAAAAATATAAGCCTATATATACATGTACTTTCCTGGACTTTGATAATACTGTACTACTTAAATTATAATGTACATCATAAAAATTGAGATTGTTAAAATTGCATTAAACATACACATTCAGAAAACAATACTTTCACCCGAAATCAGCTATATCCCTTCACATACATGTATACGGTTTGGTCCTCCAACCTTAAACCATTGCAAAATATCATATGACATGCGTAACATGAGGGTTTTAAATTCTAAAACCTACTGCAATAGCGGTCTCTAGTACAAGCTGCAAAACCACGATAAACTATATATATTTTTTTTAATTAATGAGGACTGCACATGACATTGCAATTATAATACACCTCAAGATCCTTTAAGTGGCAATACTTAGTCCTCAAACTCTTAAGTTCACCACTATGCTTTTTTTTGGAGGAATTAAGTCATCGATGGACTAATACAACATTTTTGCGTCGAATTTGCAGTTATCATCGTCCAATGGTAACTTAAACTAAATTGTTAAGCCTTAACATTTTGTGAGGGTATTTGATAAATTGGCAAATCTCCAACTTGTAAAATAATTAAAACTTTAATATTCATCCTATTTATTAAACAAAAATAAAAAACATTGAGTAAATTTTCTGTCCAGTTAAATTCTTATACAGAGTGAGTAAATCCGTTCACATTCTGCATCTGGTTTAAAAGTTTATTCGGATTTGCTATTCTCATTGCATTTATAATTTTTGGAATTGTGGTAGACATTAAAATAAATGGCAAATCATAATGTAGGAATAAAAAATAAAAGTGAAAGCGATATGTCACTTATCAAAACCATACAGTACCAATAATTTGGCTGTATGCTAAAAGACTACATGAAACAAAATCTCAACTAATTGAGGTTCCATTATTACTTTCGTCATCATGCCCATTGCTGATGCCATTCGAGATTACTCCATTACTTAGAGAACCATTGCACCGAGGGTCAGATTTCCCAGTGAAAAATGCATGCTGTCTATAGTGCAGATTTTCTGGCAGAGTTAACTGCTTGTCCGATTCGGAAATATCATTGCGGATGGCGGTTATAAGTTCATCTGAAATAGTGAAAAGCAGACATCAATAGCTGAAGCAAGCTGTAGCTATCTACAGAGTAGAACAAATACACAATAGCAAAAATGAAAGTGTGCAAATAAACAACACAAGTTAGATATGGAACCTAAGATGGACATACTATATGTTTTACAAGGCATTGTACTTTAAAAGCAAACAAGCTATTGAAGAAAATTCTTGGGGAAAAGTAAGCCAAAATAACGACAAGCAACGAGCACAAAAAATAACATTAAATGACGCAAGTATTTATGTTCATGTCAGATTTTTTATTTGTAACTGTACAACTTATTAAATGAATGAAAATTAAGAACTCGGTAAATCAATTCATATAAATAGCTACAATATACCTGTAGTTTAACTTGTCCAAATGATAAAAATCAGTCTGCACTGCAATTTAAGTATTTCACGGGTACAAACTGGCAAAAACTCGGGCAGGTAGCAGCAAAATATCACCAAACCTCTAAACCCACCTAAAGAACTGAAGTTCTTCTCTGGCCTGATGTATCCCAACATCACAACCCTCAGTTCAGATCCATAGAAGTCTTCATTAAATACGTGCATGATGTGCGTTTCCTGAAAGAGATAAGTTTCCTGTAATGCGTGCACATGGGTGCGCACGCACACGAGTATTAGTAAGCAGTTAATATAAGCCAATTCAATCTGCCATGCATTAAGGTATCTAGCTACTAAGGAGTACATTAATGAATGATGATTATTATAAATTAATCTTATGCTGAATACTGTTACAGTTAGTTAGTTTAGTTCATTTATTATGCACCCCATACCCATCTTGTGGGCAGTAGTGGAAAGGGTTACAGAGGTACATAATGGGCTCAGGGACTGAACCCCACTGTTACAGTACTGATTTTTTATCCTATTTCTATACAGAAAACTTAAAATATTGCAATTTTTAAATGTTTAATTTATTCATCAACATTCATATGCAGCATTTAAAAAGCAAAGCATTAAAGATGGCAGAGAAAAAATGATTTAGACACATCAATACTGAAATAAGGATTAAGAAAACACAATAGTAATTCCATGCATGCAAAGCCGAATAATTTGTTAACATTGGCTGCAATGTTACCAGAAAAACAAGGGAAGAACATTTATTAATAAATGCTTGTCCCTTGTTTTTCTGGTCTAATGATTAATCAAGTTCTCAGTTCAAGTATTTTGCTTCTCTACTGAATATCAAACAATGCCAGTATTGTAAACAAAAAAATAATAATAATACGTAGAAGCAATTTAAAGAAATGGAACCTTTATAAATATTAAGCCGCAGGTTACAACAACTATAACTATCACTACCAGCTTTCAATGATGAAGTGTTCTCTGCAAAGCACTTACAAGAGAGTTGTAAGTGCTTCAGTTGGAATGAATATAATGTACTTGTCTGATCAAATTTGCCATGCAACAAGTGAATGTTCCCTAACTACCCCAAGGACTCTTCCCCCATGCTTGACTGTACTAATCAGCACATACTTAGTCAAATGTACCAGAAACTTGTTCTAGCCATGCATTATATTAATCTAGGGGAAAAAATAAGTGTCATAATGCTGAATCAATGTCGATTCAACTTTATTCCGACAGTTTACCTGCAGAGAGACCCACTCTTCTTCAACACTTGTCATGTACTCTGTCTTTCAATAATTATATTCTGCAATATCAAGCACATTCAGTATACTGTACAGTACATGTATGATGGCAATCATACGTGTATTTAGGGAAAAAAAAATCAAAATTCCATGGGGGATGACTGGGGGGTGGGGGTTTTAACTCCCTTTGTGAGTAACTGTGACAGGTGCTTTTATCCACCTGGCCAATGCAGTCTACAGTGGTTGACGCACGCATCACCGTCAGTCAAATTAAGGTCAGCTCTAGATGACTGACAATGCACAGCCTAACCTTTTGCTAGGGACTCCTAACTGCCAATACTTGCAGACAATGCAAAACTAACAAGCACAGTATTAATTGAGGAAGACCTTGGCAATCTACAAGAGTTGGTAGACAAATGGCACTATTTCAACTCTAGGAAGTTTAAAGGTATTGAAAGGAAGGAAGGTAAAGAGGCAAGAACAGAGAAGGAAGCTACACAAAACTAAACGACTACAGGTATCAAATCAAGAAACTTTTGAAACGGACAATACCATAACTGGCAATCTGTAAGTGGGATAACAGCACCAGCACATGGGCAGCTAGAAATATAAGAAAATGTTCAAAAAAGCAAAACCAAGGACCCTCTTAAAACTATTCAGTACTGCAACTCACAATGTAGCTCCTCTATCTTCCTTGATGCTTCCAAAATGTTTGTCAAAGTTAAACATGCTAAACTTTAAAGTACTGCTTAATAGACAAGTCCTGTCATTTCTAGATACAGTATCTATATATTTCTTATCAGGTATGCAAATTAGCTGTATTATGGAGTAATGTCCTCTCTGAATATTTCTCACTAAAAAATGAAGTCAAATATGAAGCGGTTTATAGTCCTATATTATTTGCTGTCTACCTTCATCCATTGTTGAAAACGCAAAGAGCCAGTCGAGCTAGCTGTTGCATAGGCAGCACTAAAGCCAATGTTTTCCATTATGCTGATGATCTAATTCTACTCGCACCAATTGGAGACATGGAAACCTTGATATAACATGCGATATATATGGTGCAAAATATAACCCTACTTTCAATCCAGCCAAACCTGCTGTAGTTCTCTAACTCAACATTCATTTTATATTGATCCTAAATTAAAATTACAGTACTAGGCATAAGGAATTCCATTTATCTGGTAAGTATTAAAGGATCAAAGTTCCTTAGTACTCTGTATTAGTTGACTGGTCTCCTCCCAAGTCAAATAGCCTAATTATTAAAGTTCTAGGAGTGGAGGCAGCCACTCCTAGAACTTTGTTTTGTGAGTAACCTTATCCTCCATCTGGCCTGTAGTAATTGTAAAGATATTTTCAACATCTTGGTTATTTCTCCCCTACTTCCTTCCATAACCGGGTTGAGCATTTTCTACTGTGAGGGTGGACTCTTCCCAGTTCTTTAAGGTTATCTCAATGCAATTATTACAGCCCATGGGTTACAAGTTATAGCAACCATTACAGAGTGTGTTACCACAATCATTACAATGGTAGCAGCAGTGTTTATGACAAATGTTATAGGCGACATCAGTATCATTACAATGGTGACTTCTCAATTTGTTACACTGTTTAGCTTTATCAGGGCCACTTTATACCCATCTGCCAGCTGCAGTGTTTGGGTATGTATCACCGAGGCAAGACCACCCTCTTTCCACACACTGAGTTTACCATAATATGCTCGAGGGCCACAATCTATTAGCCTGGACAGGACACAGGAAGCTGATTACTTGTCAAAGGTCCCCCCCTCCCCCCACTTATTCCTTATTAAATGTATATGATACAATGACAAATACAAGAATTTAAATACAGTAAAATTAAGGAAAGAACAGGTGATGGCAACCAATTCACCTCCCCAAGGTCAGATCAGGCCAGTTTATACATGGCTCAAGTTACATGCCTGCACATTCCCAGACTGTACACTTGTGTTAATACATTATGGATGGGTGGTAGGAAATCAATAATGAGGTAGCGTTGGCTGCATAGCAGCACGGAGCCAACATGACAGTTCTATCCCATGAGAGTAGCTGTGAAAAAGTACCATTCATTCAATTTGGGGAAATGTTATAGTATATATTTTTAATATTTAAATTATTAAAACATTTGGTACTACCATTTTGCAATTAATGCCAAATACTAGTAATTACTATTACCCCTACCATCTTTGTCTCTTCTATGGACACTTGGTCACATACATACATGTGACTTTTATATATAACTTCTGTAATATTTATCTATAAACAGGCAGCATAAAACGGGTATATTAATAGTAATGTAGAGAGTACTTGCCACGCGTGAAAAACTAAAAATTGAAGGGGGACTGGCATTAATGTTGCTTGAATATCGAATATGTTACCATAAATTAAGTGTGGTAACCAAAATTCTCAGTGGACTCCTGGTAAACCAAATTATTTGGGTTGAAAGAAACCACATTTCTGGATGAAGAGCAATGGAGAATAAGAGTGATACGAGTGATGGGGTAATTTCATTTTTTTTTTTAATTTAAAAAGGCACATCAATTTCCATTGCGACTATCTGTTCATGGGCTCAACGTTCCCAGAAGTCTTAATCAACACTTCTACAGTACAGAAATAGTTTTAAAAACCATACTAAATTATTCTGTACAATTTTGGGAATAATGACAAATGGACAAAATAGTTCAGTTGCATTTTTTTTTACGTTAATGCGGTTCTTATTACCGACAACGACTTAAACAATCCATGTATCCTCAGTGGCACTACTTACTGCAAGGCATTTTAGTTTTGCAGGCTTGTTTTGGCACTTTTTTGAGATATGGCAGGCATTAAAAAAACTGAACTTTGGATCAATAGTACTTTTCGATACCTTAAGAACCGCTGTATGATAAATCTACCTTATACCTGTAAAAAAAAAAAAAATTACATGCTCTTTATTAATGTATAAAGTGTTTCCCAACTAAATGATACCCATCTAAGACTGCAAAAATATATTATTCAATACAATTTACAGACCACATTTATCTCTCGACATTCTACTAAATAAAGTATTGTACATTTTTCTTCCTCTATAGAGTTTAACAGCTTCAGTCTTATATAATTACAGTATAATAAATTAAATGTTACTATATAAACTATCCTTAGGCAAATGCTAAAGAACCTGTTTATAGAATCTAATCACATCTCTCAACTTCAAGCAAGTTCTAAAGCTCCATTCTTTTACATATTGTATAAAAAAAAAAAAAAAAAAAAGAAAAAAAAAGAAGCTCAATGTACCCCAGCGGGAAATGGCACCTCTATCATGACTCGTGAAATTCAATGATTCAACTATTCTGAACCTTATGTTCCAGCTCATAAGGTTGTTTTGTGTTCTAGCAAAGAAAAAAAACTACACTTCCAGCCTCAAAGCCCATGACGTGGCTATTACAGTAATCGCAGACTTCCCGGATGACCTCCGAGTGAAAATATCCATGGAGTGACTTTGCACTTCTTGGGTGCACTTAATGTATGGACAAGTGATGAGAAAAAGAAAAGCTACTACAATTTACTTTTTTTTAAGGTAGGATGAACAACAAATAGTATGTGATCAGTAACTGCAAGCTGAACTTTAGTTCTTGTTAGCACCCGTTCTCTTCCTCTCTAATACTGCAAATTATACAATATACTCTATATAGTATCGTGTCCCAGTATTAAGCTACAGTGCAATGTTGTGTAGAGCCACTTGCACACCTGCTAAGAAACCATTCTTATGTTGTCACTCACATTCCATTCCATTCAGAACATAATGAACAAGCACTTTATATTTTAATGATATCAAACATTCTATCTTCTACAAAGTGCTGTATTTACTGTATTCTCAATATTTTAGGCAAGAATATGTGGCTCATTTTTGGCAGACCAACTACATATATACTGGATTGTTGACCCAGAAAAAATTTCTCACAAAATGTTGAACAAGAGAAGACCTAATAAAGTTTTATTTGACAGCCAAAAGGTGGCATATTTATAATTATTGATCATAAAATAATGACAATCAACCTTGGTGTTCTTGGTTTTGCCCCATTAAATTATTGCATTTCTCAATAGGTTCCTTCTTGATAGGTACAAACTGCACGAGTTTGTACTGTACAGTACGGCCAACACTCAAAATCTGAGACTTTCAGTCTACATACTGCCAGAAAATATATTAAATTTTACTCTCATTAATACTTACCATTGATTTTTTCTTGTTATTATAGTAAGGATTCCAGCCAATACTCATGACCATCTTGCAGGTGGGGCCATCCTCGACTTTTGCCCATCCGTAATATATTCCTGTCGTGACCTCTTCTGGGAGTTGCTCAACAACGTGTTGAGGAAAGTTTGCTGGAAAGTACAAGATACAATCAAATAAAGAAATTATTTATGACATTTAAAAATGGTTCTTCTATTCCATCTTCAGACTTAGACTAGCCTCAAGACCATACAAGCATGAAAAAAAAAAAAAATAATGTATACCTTTAAAGTTCTGATTGTAGTCAATACAGATTTTAATATCGATCTCTGCCAACATGATAGAAAAGTTGCTAGCTTCCTCTACAGTATGGATTCCTTTAAGCCAAAATGCCCACGATCACTAAACTCCCCGAGAATTACCGAGACTATGCCTCCACCTTTGGCCACATTTCCATTACTATGATGCTTACACTAACCTCAGTAATAATCATTGATGGTACTATTGACCACTATCCTACATTTACTGTAACAAACTTTATCAAACCACTGTTAGAAACTATGAAGATTAGTTTTAGAAATATGTTCACCATTTCTATCCTGCACGGGGTTCAAACCTGGGATCCTCGATTGCAAGTCAAGAACATAGACCTTTGTTTGCAAAAATACACAAGAACCACAAAGGCTGGATGACTGTTTAATTATAGCACAAGAAAGGTAAATCTAGTTAAACGTTTCTGCTCCCAGTGAATTATAGTACCGTACTTAACAACAAGGGTTTCTGCTACAAGAGAAAAGACTGTACTGACAACTGCTTGCACCACACCTAATCTAAACAAAGCCAATTAATAATATATTTAACCCATCCTATTCTTCCTTATAAAGGAAGTAAAACAAATTAAATGCATGTTTTATACAGCATAGCAAACCTATGTTACTTCAAACAGCCACCTTGGTGTTTGTATACAATGTTATGCTTATACAAATTAATAATAATTTTGATTTAAAAGAAGATACATTTGGGTTGGTGAGATTACACAAGATTGGTATTTTTACATTCTTGCAGTCAATAACATGCATTGCATTTTGGGCAGGTCCTTAATCTAACATATCAGGTAAGATGAAAAGGCACATTGTAGCAAGGTGTTATATCAACATAGAATACAGGTACAACTACAATGTAAATTGACAAGAGGTGATTACACTAGTGATAATGTATGTCTTAAGTACAGTGTACCAATATTGGAGAAGTGGGTAGTACAAGATACAGTGTGAGTTTGAAGCACAAGACAGGAAACTATGAGGATGAAAGCAGATACTTTTTGAATTTTACTTCTGAATAAGGCATAGGTTTGACAATTTGTTAATTAATCAGGGAGTGAGTTCCATAGATTGGGTCCTTTTATGTGCATGAAATGTTTGCACTGATTTAGTTTGACTCTGGGGATATCAAAGATATATTTACTTCTGCTGTGATACTCATGGGTTCTATTACACTTATCAAGGAAAAGTTCCAGATCAAGATTAGCATTTACATTAAGATTAATGACCGGATTCAATCGCATTACATGCACAAGGGACACAAATCCAAATGCCTAAACTTCCAATAAAGCAATACAACAGCTGTGGCATTTCCTCCCCAGCCTAACCCAGTCAGAGTGACGCAAACCTTTCCGGGAAATTTCTCGTCGAACGTTATCAGTGACGCAATATAACACCCTCATGGGTGCCGGCTGGGGGCACATACCCCTTCACGGCCTCCACATACCCATACCCAACAATTACCAAAAAGGCTTTTTTGGGGGCCCTGGTCAATCCGTTGTACTAATGGTTACCACTACGGTCACTCTGGCTGAGGTATACTGGGAAGAAATCGTAAACTTTCACCCAAGAAGCCCGTGAGTACATCTTGGTAAGGGTCGGTCAGCCACCGGATTGAAGGGGGTTCCACCTTGACACTCACCTGTAGGGATCCCCAGCTCCTTAGACCCTCGGCCGAAACCCTTAACGACGGTGCCGACGGCGAAGTGCGGCAGTCCTCTCCTCAGGGCGGCCATCTCTGCACTGGAGTATACCTCAGGGAGGTGTGTGTGTGTGTGTGTGTGTATACCGCCCAGCTGGTGTACCGTCGTCTGCTGCAGGGTTGCCAGATACAAATTCCTGAAAGTAGCGAGCTGACGGTCTAAAAGTAGCGAATTTGTAATAAGAGTAGCCCAATTTTTTGTTTAGTGACTGATACGGGTTTCAAAGTAATATATTTTGATATATAGAGTATACTACACGATGTTAATTGTTTTATTATTATTATTTCTGCACACACACACATATATATATATATTTTTTTTTTTTAACCTAAAAGGGGTACCACCTCAGGTGCAAGTGTAGGGCCTCGGAGAAGAAAATAGAGAGTACCCAGAGAAGACCTTGTGGATCCTCACTGAACACTTTTATATTTTCTTCGCCTACCACCCCTATTCTTTTAGTATGTGTGTATATATATCTAACTTTATTTTAAAATTTCATTACACAAAGAGGGTAATGCACAACTTGAAGCCCAAGTGATACCCAGGAACCCGACCAGCTGTGTAACCGGAGCCCGACCAGTTGCGTAACCGGACCCCGACCAGTTGTGTAACCGAACCCCGACCAGTTGTGTAACCGGACCCCGACCAGTTGTGTAACTAAACCCCGATCAGTTGTGTAATGCAGACCCCGACCAGTTGTGTAACCCAGACCCCGACCAGTTGTGTAACTGGACCCCGACCATTTGTGTAACCGTAAGCCTAGCATGAATGAATCGAACAACATCCGAAGCACAAACATACACGAACCGAAGCCCGACTATGTACAACCCGAAGCCCGACCAGTTTTGTAACCGGAGCCCGACTAGTTGCGTAACCGAAGCTCGACCAGTTGTGTAACCAGACCCTGACCAGTTGTCTAACCTTAAGCCTAGCAAGTATACATCTCATCCAACCCCCACCAAGCTAAACAGTCCCAGAGCACAACCAAACTCCATTCCTAGCTCGACCAAACAATTGAACTATAAACAAAAAAAGAAACCCGGATTTCAAGCAAACATATAAACATAAAGCCTTAGCAAACAAACCTGGAGCACTAGTACACAAACAACCGCTGAAGCACAACCATGCACGAACCAAAGCCTGACCATGCACAACCCACAGCCTAAGTGACACCCCCGGAGCCCGACCAGTTATTTAACCGGAGCCCGACCAGTTATTTAACCGGAGCCCGACCAGTTATTTAACCGGAGCCCGACCAGTTGTGTAACCGAAGCTCGACCAGTTGTGTAACCAGACCCCGACTAGTTGTCTAACCTTAAGCCTAGCAAGTATACATCTCATCCAACTCCCACAAAGCTAAACAGTCGCAGAGCACAACCAAGCTCCATTCCTAGCTCGACCAAACAAAAATCTCATTAGCCCTACCTAAAATCCTCCATTTGCCCTAGACACCAACTATTGACCCATAACAAACAAACTATATACAAAAAAAGAAACCAGGATTTCAAGCAAACATATAAACATAGAGCCATAGAAAACAAACCTGGAGCACTAGTACACAACCGCTGAAGCACAACCATGCACGAACCAAAGCCTGACCATGCACAACCCACAGCCTAAGTGACACCCCCGGAGCCCGACCAGTTATTTAACCGGAGCCCGACCAGTTATTTAACCGGAGCCCGACCAGTTATTTAACCGGAGCCCGACCAGTTGTGTAACCGAAGCTCGACCAGTTGTGTAACCAGACCCCGACCAGTTGTCTAACCTAAAGCCTAGCAAGTATACATCTCATCCAACCTCATCAAAGCTAAACAGTCCCAGAGCACAACCAAACTCCATTCCTAGCTCGACCAAGCAAAAATCTCATTAGCCCTACCTAAAATCCTCCATTTGCCCTAGACACCAACTATTGACCCATAACAAACAATTGAACTATATACAAAAAAGAAACCAGGATTTCTAGCAAACATATAAACATAGAGCCTTAGTAAACAAACCTGGAGCACTAGTACACAAACAACCGCTGAAGCACAACCATGCACGAACCGAAGCCTGACCATGCACAACCCACAGCCTAAGTGACACCCCCGGAGCCCGACCAGTTATTTAACCGGAGCCCGACCAGTTATTTAACCGGAGCCCGACCAGTTATTTAACCGGAGCCCGACCAGTTGTGTAACCGAAGCTCGACCAGTTGTGTAACCAGCCTTAGTAAACAAACCTGGAGCACTAGTACACAAACAACCGCTGAAGCACAACCATGCACGAACCGAAGCCTGACCATGCACAACCCACAGCCTAAGTGACACCCCCGGAGCCCGACCAGTTATTTAACCGGAGCCCGACCAGTTATTTAACCGGAGCCCGACCAGTTATTTAACCGGAGCCCGACCAGTTGTGTAACCGAAGCTCGACCAGTTGTGTAACCAGACCACGACCAGTTGTCTAACCTTAAGCCTAGCAAGTATACATCTCATCCAACCCCCACAAAGCTAAACAGTCCCAGAGCACAACTAAGCTCCATTCCTAGCTCGACCAAACAAAAATTTTCTTAGTGCTACCTAAAACCCTCCACTTGCCCTAGACACCAACTATGGAGCCATATCAAACAATTGAACTATATACAAAAAAAAAAGAAACTCGAATTTCTAGCAAACATATAAACAGAGCCCTAGCAAACAAACCTGGAGCACTAGTACACAAACAACCACTGGAGCACAACCATGTACGAACCGGAGCACAACTATGCACAACCCAAAGCCCAAGAAGTCACATCCCTGGAGTTATGTAATTGGAACCCGACAAGTTGTGAAACCGGGGCCCGACCAGTTTTCTAACCGCAAGCCTAGCATGAACAAATCAAACAAACAACCGCTGAAGCACAACCATGCACGAACCGAAGCCTGACCATGCACAACCCACAGCCCAAGTGACACCCCCGGAGCCCGACCAGTTGTATAACCGGAGCCCGACCAGTTATTTAACCGGAGCCCGACCAGTTATTTAACCGGAGCCCGACCAGTTATTTAACCGGAGCCCGACCAGTTGTGTAACCGGAGCCCCACCAGTTGTGTAACCAGACCCCGACCAGTTGTGTAACCACAAGCCTAGCATGAACGAACCAAACAACCTCTGGATCACAACCATGCACAACCCAAGTGACACCCCCGGAGCCCGACCAGTTGTGTAACCGGACCCCGACCAGTTGTGTAACCGCAGGCCTAGGTCTACTTAGACTGTAGCTGGTGCGCCCCCACATGAATTATTGCATCCAGGCATGGAGACCTCATCTTCAGAAAGACACAGCTGCTCTGGAGCCATGTCTTACCAGAGCTATGGAGCTGTCTCTTACCACAAAAATCATACCAGAGCTTAGTCATCTGTTGTATCAGGAACGGTTGAGGGCCACAGGGCTAACAACACCACAAACCAGGCATGACAGGGCAGACTTCATAGAAACCTTTAAAATACTAAACAATTTGGAGAATGTCGATCAGGACAATGTCTTCAAAAGGTCAGATGTTACACGAACAAGGAACAACGGGTTCACACTCAACAAGCCAGAATGCTTTTTCACCCACAGGGTTGTAAACCAGTGGAACCGCTTACCCGCCGAAGCAGTAAACGCCAAACCTCTGCTGGGTTTTAAAATAAAGCTGGAAAAGATCATCAGGACAAATGAGGGGACCTTTGACAAGCCGCGGGCTTACTGCCCTCATAGAGGCCACTAGTGATAGTGTTAAATGCTTCACACTCCACATACTTCAAGTGAAAATAATTGCCAACAGAACCTAAATACCGAACGTACTATACGCCTAATTAATTATAGAATAAAATTAATTTATACACGATAAAAACTATTTTTAATACACAGTACATGAAAGTCGATAATAAATGCGTCTTGGGATGTGCGGGGGAGACGACCGCCGCGTTAACGAGCCTAGCCTGACGACGGGATAGTTTAACAATGGGGAAGTGTATCCTACCCATATAATGTTGGCAAATCATGATCCTCAAAATCTTCCACAATATCCGAGAGAGGACAGACTATTTAGCATTAGTCGAATACAAACATTTGAATACTGCAGAACCCGGATAATTACAAAACTCAATGTTATAATAGCGAGCAAATGAATAATGCATTAAGCATTGTAGATGCAGGTAGACTATATATTCATGCGTACCTCCCAACTGCTCAGATATATTTGAAAAAAAAAAAAACTATCAGCCTTACCTACACGGGAGCGACGCACCTCACGCCGCCGCTGCTTCTTGACGACTGGCGGGTCGGCGTCAATGACCCGTAGCGTCCAACCGACCCAGGGACTCCCTTCCCTAAAATTATTTGAATGCTATATTGAAATTTCCAGCGTATAGCGCCAGGAATGTGTAAATTAATATTTATATGCATTATAGGCCTTTCTAAAGTAATTTATATATCTGAATATCATATATTGTCTAACAAACGAATTATTTAAGTTAAGATTTTAATTATGCCAGATACAATTAATCTCATCGAGGCACATAATCGGTTCAGGAATTGGCCGTTAAGTCTCATCGCACACAACAAGATTCGTCGGCGGATTTTTTTTTATTTTTTTTATTTATATATATAAAAAAAAAGTTTTTAAATTCTTGTAAAGCCACTAGCACGCATAGCGTTTCGGGAGGGTCCTTAATCCTAATTTTTTCCCCGGAATACGACCCGCCAAATCGTTTAACAGCCTATTCACTGCTGGGTGAACAGTTAAGGATTGGCGCCCGGTCAATCCTTCCCGGCCAGGATACGAACCCAGGTCAAAGGGCTGGCGTAGAGCCGGGCGCGTGCTTTACCACTGTGCCACAGAGACTGCTCCGTTGCGTAGTGGAATTTTGAATTTTGAAACCTGACTAACATAGCTCAACCCAACCTAACGTAACCCAAATCAAACCAATCTAAAAATAACTAATAAATAAATGTTTATTTAGGTAAGGTACATACATACAAGAGATTTTACAAAGATTGATGGATTTATAGATAGAGCTAGTACATACGATGCCTAAAGCCACTATTACGCAAAGCGTTTCGGGCATAAAATCTAATTCAACCGAGCCCAATGCAGCCTAACCTTAATAA